AAAAATCACAGCAGGACGCTATCTCCTTCAGGGCGCAGATAAAATCGTCCACTGACTCGCCTGGCTCCTGCATCCGCATGTTAAATTCGCAGCGGTCGATCACCACGTTCCGCTGCCGCCGAAGGTGGGCGTGCATGGCGGTGATCACATCGGCCATGGACGCCTCGGCCGGGATGGGCAGGCCGAACCGAACCACGCGGGCCCAGTCGTCGTCGAGAACGGCGAGCAGGGCGGCCCGCTGCTCAGCCTCGGTGAGATCGTGGACGCCGGTGAGGAGGCAGTAGCCGGAGAACTTCTCTTTCCAGGCCTCAAACTCCTTGAGGGTAGCGGTAGCCGCCAGCCGGGGCGTGGGCGTGCCGGCGGCGGGCATTCGTGCACGCGGCCGGGCGCCGGAATCGGGCCCCGCAGCTGCCTGGGCGGGTGCCGTGGCGTCCTGCACGGCCGTCGGGCCGGGAAGCACCCGCTCCATCAGCGCGGCCATCCGCTCCTCACGTCGCGCTGCCGCTGCAGCCAGCCAGCTCCAATTGCTGCTGCAGCATGCCCCGAAGCAGCTCCATGCCCCGAGCTGGCAGGACCCTGGCCGGCTCGGTTACAGGCGCTCATCGGGACTGAGTATGCCGTGTTGGGCCGCAGGTGTTTGAGGAGCAGCACCAGCTCCGGTCGGCGGATAGACCTGGTCAGGGTGGTCTGGTCGGCCAGCCGGACGTAGGTGGCCGTGTATCCGTCCGTGGGTCGGCGACTGCGGCGGCGGCGGGCTGCACGTCAGCCGCAGTGTGCGCGGCCCGGGTACTGGCCGGGCAGGCGCGGCCGCTACTGGTGCAGTGCCTGGCGGTGGGCTGGCCGGCGGCGCGGCCCGTCTGGAGCGCCGACCGGCCGCTCGGCGTCGGCCGTCACTGGGTGCGGCTCGGCTGGTGTCTGCTGGGCTGGAGTACTTTTCTGCTGCCGCCAGAAAAGTCTGTCAATGGGAGGCAGTGACGCCGGGGCTCAGAACCGGGAGGGTGATCCGTCGGAGGGGTTAGCTGTGACTTCCCACCGGGGAAGGTCAGCTATCACTGGGAAGGGTTCGCTGCCACCAGCCACCGGGCAAGGTCATCCCCCACCAGGGAGTGTCAGCTGTCTTTGGGGAGGATCAGATGGCGAGGATCAGCTGTCACTGGATAGGATTCAGATGTCAGGAGAAATACCACTTTTATTATGGGGTTTAGAACAGCTGGAATGGCAGCTCTGTAGCTTGAGCTGACACCATGGGCGGCGGAACGAGGAGGGCACCGGGGCACCGTGCCGTGCCCCCCTTTGGCTTTGGCATTTTAACATTAGCCCTATGGGCGTTGCATGGAAAGAATGGGACTGGGACCAAAAGTCGGCAGTGCCCCCCCCCCCCTAATTGAAGGTGTTCCGCCGCTACTGGCTGACACCTGACATTAGCGCATATTTTAAGTCTTAGCACCCCAGCAACCACTCCAGCCAAGGATTTATGTTATCGATTTGCTCTGAATCTTCTGAATGGAAGGGTTCACAAGGACATAGTCCCCGCTGAGAGGAACATGTTGGCATGCCCTCCACATTCTAAGCGCGCATACTGGGCTAGGGCAGAATTTGGTCTGAAATCATATGTACGCACAAAACCATGCATAGCCAATCCCTTACTGACAAAGGCCGGCTACAGCCTGCCAGCAGCCATATCCATACCCGTGAGCCAGACTGGAAAAAATACACGTTATGCCGAATATGTCCGGCGTAGTGGCGGGATTGCGCCGAAAATTTAAGCGCACGTCTGGCGTAACTTCGCATGCGCCGAATTCAGCGCATGGCGGCGGACGAATTTTTCGGTGCAGGGCGGTCGCATAATTTTTTGGCGAAAGACAGTCACCGAATTTATGCGGTACGCTGGTCAATCTAGCAGCAGATTCACCCCGCGGGCGGCTCTGGAAAGGTTTCGGGACGACACGTCCCCGCCCCGGTCGTCGCGTGCTCGAACTGGCGAGCCGCCCTGAGTCTACTCAGCGGAGGAACGGCCGCCCAGGTGAGGCCTCAACCTTCGGCGTAGAGATAGGCATGGAAAACCTTGTTGAACGTCGCCAAGCGTCGTTAAGCAATAGCAGTGGGTTCCTGCCCACTGCAGTATCGAGGGGAATGAGAGCGTGGACGATCTGGCAAAACTGGCGGCCGCCCTGCCCTCAAACGCCCGATCGCTGACCAGGGCGGTTCATTGTCCGGCCTCGCATCAGTGGCGCGACAACTGCTCAGAATCACTATTCAAGCCACTCCTCGGGAGCACGCCGCCGCTCCCCTCTCCCCGGAGAGGACCGAGAGGATGCCATTTCGGTGCACCAGATGAGGGCGGGCCACCGGGGCCGCTCGCTCCAATACGGCACCGAATCGGCTGTCTCCACTCCGCCCCGTGCCAGCAGTGCCCAGACAAGCGGTGCCCAGCGGCGCTCTGCACTGTGAGCCGAGAAGAGGCTGATGTGCCGGAGCACGTGCTGCTCCGCTGCCGGGCCCTCGCTGGCTCCCGTCGAAGTATTGGGTTTACGTGGAAATAAAAACTAATTCGGACGCTCAAACATGGGATAACGTACAAAGCCCCGAAACACTCTGCCTGGTTGATATAGCCTTGATCAGTATATGAGCACATGTGCTTTATATGAAAAGGGCTTGATTTTCGCACAAATAGGCACCTAATTTTTGGCGCAAATCACTCAGAAATTTCGGCGCAAAATGGTCTCACGGGCGTCCGGCGTAGTGTATGGATGTTTTCCAGTCTGGCCCGTGAGGAGTCTCATAAACAAGATATATTAAATATTAATTTTAATTCTGAAATAACTCCCATGCCTGCATAATACAGAGGAGTGTGGTGAATTGAAAAAAAAAACAACTAGGTAATGCAGCCACTCGGGCAGAATTCAGCCATTCATCATGCTGTTGGTTTTGTAGGTACTCGGAGCACTGCAGTGTACCAAAATCATATTTTGGGTGTCAGAGGGGAAACTTGCTGACCAAAAAAAAAGGATGAGAGTGAAAAATTGTTGGTCAGGTAAGCTCCAAGAATAGTGGGAAAATGATCAAAAACATTAATCTATCTACAATTGCTCCTTCTCGGTGGAATTGGGAGTGGAAAATTGAGCTTGAAAACTGGAGGTGAGAGTGGAAAATGCTTTTTGCATTTCTATGTCGTTTCCCACCCACATCTACAAATTTTGAGACACTGCGCAGCAGTCAATGCACATTATGGTTCAGTCGCAAGCCTTGCTTTAATCAACGAAAGAAAATTACTTTTTCTATCATGCATCATGAATTAACAAAATTTTTGTTCATATTTTTGTTTTTACCTTTTCTCATTATTTCATGCACACCTTAAAATCATGAAACTGTAGCGAGCAACTGATTGGAAGATAGGAATGTCCTTGCTACATTTCTCGACATTATCAAAACATCTTTTTCCAAACATACCTATCAACATCCTGGAAATATGACTTAGCAATATATTGAGGTTCCATACCCTTGACAAGGCAAATGCACCAACTTTTAAACCAAAACAACTGTACTAACTCTTAAATAAATTTGTGACTTCAACTTATACTCCCTTACAAAAAAAACAAAATCCTTGCCTGCTGGATCGAAAAGCAATAGAGCGCTCTCGCCCCACACCCTATTTACGTGAGACCTGCACAAACTTACCAGGTGCTTGCAGTCAGAACACGACACCGTATTCATATTGAAAAAGGGCATAGCGTATAGAAGAGTAGCGACTAGCGTCTCACTGACCTTAGGCCAAAATATTTCACTTGATAACATCCACGCAAGGCCAATGCAGTGTAGATAGGCATATCAACATAGAAATGATATGTCCAAATATGTCTTTGCCGCGTCATAGTTGTAACGCACTGCGGAGAACTCCAGAGATCTGATTGGCTAATATTAGCCAATCAGTAGCATATGTTACTGGAAACTGTCATAGTGGAAGTAAATTGGGACGCCGGTGAAAACAGGGCGCCGGAGGGCATGAGATATGGCACACTGCCATATCCAGTCACGTGATCTCAGGTGAAGTTTTCCTTCCTAGCACCATTCGTGACGAAGGATTCGAAGGAAGTTTTAAAATGTTTTAGTAGCTATTACAAGTTTTCAAATTTAAAATGTACTTTTAAAAGTTCGGTTAACTTCAAACCGAGCACATAAAAAAATCGAGGCAGAATTGCTATATCACCTGTAAGCACGCCGTCTACCTATATGACCAGATAGTTGTCACTGCCTAGTGGTGCAGGTCGCAGGCCATGCTTTTAGAGATCCCAAAGAGATGGCGCTACGGTGCCCGTAGTATGCCCTGAGGGCCCCTGTCCGTAACGTCAAGTGACACTAAATTATAAGTAACGCATCGCAGTGTGTTTGAAAGGCTTGCAACTTTGCCTTTTTTAGTATCAGGTGATTTTCTCCTAATATGCTGTTCTTTTTTTTCTTTTGACGAATGTCTTGGACACTTGTATTCACATCTGTCAGTATCATATTGCAAGGAACGTAGTTATAAGTTCACAATCCATTGCCGCAAACAGCGCCCCCTAGAATACTTCCGCTGGGCTAGGACGCCATCTATGAATGCGAGGTCTACGCGGAATGAGTGCACAATCGAAAAGTATTTATGGCATACGCGTAATTGCAACTATGGACTATATCTACCAGGTACGTTAAGGCACAAAGATTGATAGACAAGTCATTTAATTTTTTCTAAGCCGCCACCCATTATCAGGTGACCAGGAGTGCCCCCTCCCCCCCTTCGCAATTGCAATGCATTAGTTATGCTATGCTATGTACGTGCCTAATGTTATTAGCTACGTTAGTTATTGTCATGCCCATATGTGTCGTCCAGTCCATTGATGTGTTGTTCACACTTCACATGTTTTGCTGTCTAAGGTCTTGCTGCTTGTCACATAACTAGTGACATACCTATGACGATTTACCACATACCGTTCCGTCGTTTCCTTTCGATCCTTAGGACATTCAAACCCTTCTTCTCCACGCCTCAACCCCCTGGTCCGGGCTGGACGGGCAACTTTATTCCATGCGGGATTGCCCATAAGCCGAGCACGCCCGTAGCCTGGGGGCTGGGTGGCCTGCCCATTTAAATGGGCTCAGCCCCGGCGACTCACTAGGGTGCTCGCCCCATGCCCCCTCCCCCCAAGTCATATCATCCTCCCGGCTCTGCAATGGTCTCATCGGACCGAAAGGGCCTAACCCAACGAAACAAACAAACAAACAAACAAACAAACGGTTTATCACGCATCTCATATCACCGTTAAGGCAGCATCGGAAGCAAATTAGCGATGCATTCCATTGTCAACATCACTCTAGAATGTGACAAAACATTGTGTGACTTAGTCCGACATCAAAGCAATAACTTCCGCGGACCAGCCGCGATGCGTGGCTGGTAATCACTGTGCCCAATGATCTGACTCGCTTCATTGTTCAGTGACCGGTCATCTATCACCCACCCTCAGCGCGCAGCGCTTCGCCGGATTCCACGCCGACCAAGCCACCGTTCTCGACACCGTCGCGCCGCTGCCGTGAGACGGCAGGGAGGAACCACCAGTGCTCGTAGAGTTTGTCATGCCGCATAGTTCTCTCCGGATGTCCATGCTGTGAGAAGATGGGTTGCGCAAGTGGTCAGATTTCCATCAGTTAATACTTAATTTGTTCGACACAGATATAATATAAGTTATAACTAGGTAACACGTGAAATAAAGCATGGAGAGTGAAATAAGCACACAACATAAGAAGAACTACTCATAAGTGTCATTACACTTGGTCACTCCACATAACCACTTACATTTTCTACTATGTTGATGTGCTCTCTCCGGCAGGCTGTGGCTTGCTGCGGCACACGGGGCAGAGCCATTCTACATCTTCAACTGCAAAGGGAAAAAAATATTAGCCGTTTTCACGACGGGCTGTCCGGCGAATGCACCCAATTCTCACCAAACCTGCCCCTATTATCACTTTATCGCCAAATTGTCCAAAATTGTCCAAATTGTCTTAAAACCAAAAATGTCCCTCTTCTCATGCTGATGTAGGAATGTGGTGTTATGTTATTTTAAAAGCTTACCATGTTCATGTCTCAGATATTGTAAAAGCGAGATTGAGGTAGTTAAAAACACATTAAACATTCATAAAACAGCAAAACTCAACAACAACAACACTCTTCCTCTCTCTCTAACACTATTAGTTCCTTAGTTCAGAGTGTGCCCAATGTGTGTGTATCACTCTTTGTAACAGCCGCGCAATGAATGTATAAATTAAATTCTGGTTCACCGTAGCAGGTAATAGCTAAAAAACCACCCATGGGCCAAGTCGAAATCTCGGTCACGTGCTCCACGAAAGCGAATTTCAAGAGCCTTGATCAAAACGCCCCAGGCGCCCTGTTTTCACCGGCGTCCGTAAATTGGTAGCTGTTTCAGCTACCAAACTGATGAAGGAAATAGGTAAAATTGCTTATTTTACACGAACACCTGTCATACGCTAATCAAAGTAGAGCTAATGAAAATGGCATTATCCCACAAAGGAAAGCCAATTTGCCACGTAAGCCACCATGAATAGATTTGCTGAGCTTGTAATCACGTGTTTTTAACAAAAAAAGTCAATGAAATAATGTAATTTACGAATTTCTAGCACTCACATGCATATTTTCGTCTGCACACCGAATTGCGTCCAGGATATTGGCCATGGCGTATTTCTTGTGAACCCTCTGTTAGTAGAAATTCCACTATCTGGCAACTAGCCCTATGTAAACGCGGCTATTGATATGTCCTTACTTTATCAGCGAGTTATGGCAATTCTTCGTTCCATTCAGCTCATAACACTTTTTTGTGGCAAATGCTGTTGAAAGGAACAACACCCAATATGGAGCACACAAATGTAGATTAAACAAAATATTCACACGGCTTATCACCTGCTGCAGATCCAAACGGACTTACCGGCTGCAGCGGTGAGCAGCTGATGCCACACGCACGTGCTGAGCAGGCCTCTCGGCGCCATCAGAGGCGGAAGAGGTGGGCGTCACCCACAGACTTGAAAGGCACCGACCTGCCGGCCTCCACCGCCAAGAAACACTGTCAATCACACCGGGGAGCGCGAGATCCCTGACGAACGTGACCAGTAAACAGGCAGAGTCACCAGCTGTAGGGCGAGCCGTCGTTTGCGCCGCTCCTGCTTTGCACGATTTCACTGTAACCGAACACTGTTTGAAATAGACAAACACCATTCGTTAGACTTGTGTTTTTCTATTGAAAAACAACCGGAGCAGGCTTATGTTGTGGGTGGGAGTGAGGGACACTGCAGGATAAATGGCTTCTCACTACGCATACCTATATTTTAGCTGATTCGTGAAGTGATTTTCGATGTTTTCTCTGATTAGATACGCTGCGAGATGAGAGGCGAACAGGGGCGTACTCACAAATGTAAGCGCGTTATGTAAGGCGGGGCTATTTGATGCATGAAGAGGGCGGTGTGCAAAGATTAAAAGACTATTTGAAGTTACATAATATTGAAGTCAGTCTGCTTAATGTATGCCGGCTCCCTTTCAGAGCCTCTCTTGGAGGGGGAGGGGGAGGATGCCCACGGATTACCTCCCTGGATCCGCCAGCGGCCCAGCAACCATCGTGTAGCATGGTTAATTTTAAATGCTGAATCGAAAAATCGCACCTGCGACCTCTGTTCGGACCAGAGGCGTAGGTAGGGGGCCACTGGGCCATGCTCCCTCCCCCTTGGGAGCCAAGGGTGCCCCTTGCGATTGCAAGGCGTCGAGGGCGCGGAGGAACACACTGACCCCATTATTAGCAGGGGCGGATCCAGGATTTTCTCCGACCAGGCCAGGGGCCAGTGGAATGGGATGGCGTGTTTTCCATCAACCATGGGCGGCGAAATGTACGATTGAAGCGCCTACAATCAAAATTGAAGATAACGTCCTCTGTCGAGTCTTTCCCTTCTCCTGATGTTGTTTATGAACATACTGATTTGATAGTGTTGCGTTGTCCCGATTCGTCGCTCCACAGGGTGGCATATTTTTTTTCTTTCTTTTTTGGCTAGGGACTCCAGCCCCCAAAACCCCTCTCCTGGATCCGCCCCTGTTTGTTTGCACGCCTCTGTTCGCCTCTCATCTCGCATCGTATCTAATCAGCGACAACATCGGCATCCACTTCTCCTATCTGCTGAAACACAGGTGTTGAAAGAAGCTACTTGTCCCGCACGGCGCCTACTCCCAACACATGCTGGGAACGTGCTATGCAGGAGGAAGGTTCGACGTGCAACCAGCGGCTTGCATTTTCTTGTAGTTCTCTCCTCACGGGACCCGTTCGTGAGATTTCTCGCGCTCCCCGAAGTGATTGACAGTGTTTCTTGGCGGTGTGGCGGCCGGCAGGGTGGTGCGTTTCGGGTCTGTGGGTGACGCCCACCTCTTCCGCCTCTGATGGCGGCGAGAGGCCTGCTCAGCACGTGCGAGTGGCACCAGCTGCTCACCGCTGCAGCCGGTAAGTTGGCTTAGATATCGAGGGTATGATAAACCGTGCCGGATAATTTTACCTACAAATTTAATTATGTAGTGTGTCGATTGTAACTTGTTTTGTCCCAACAGCCTGTGTCACTAACAAATCGCTAATAGTTGCGAGAAATGTTCGGGTATGTAGTAGGGTAGACCGGGGCAAGTCGCCCCGCCGAGGTAAAACGCCTCACCGATGTTTCTCGGAACTGGCAAGGTTCTGGAGAAACATCATCTCTTCTATAAAACGTGCACTATATAATCATTATATGAGCAGACTGGAAAGAAATTGTGATGACTCTTTAGGGAGATATAGCCAAAAATGTGTTTTTGGAGTGATTTTTATGTTTTGTTGTCAGCTTATGCATCATGGCGTTCTTTTATGGTCCACATCAGTTTAACGACTTTTATGTATTTTGAACAACTCTATCTAACGCTTATAATGCCGGCTTGGTTCGTGTTAAATTATGCCTTGCTGGAGTGCAAGGCGTTGTTCTCTGACCGAACTACGTGATGGGGTAAAACGCCCCAGTAGGTCGCGGGGCAAAACGCCCCATGGGGCGTTTTACCTCATGTGTTGTTCGGACTACCCACTTCCTAATGTTCGGTAGCTGGCTAACAGTAAGTTTCTATGCATTTATATGTACTTTTCTCAGCAACTGGATGGCAAAGGAAGTATTTTGTTAACATTTCCATTGCAATAATTTATTATTTGGCCTTATGAGGCAGGTGAAAAACCTGCTCATACAATAGTGTCATAGCTGAACACCTGATAGGGTGGAAGGAGCTAACTTCAGTGCCGTGGTTCCCAAAGTCTAACAGACCTCTCATATACGATTTAAGTCAACTAGCATGTTTAATCTTTAATCTAGGGCATGGGGCTTCTTGCCCCAGGCCGTGGGGCGTTTTGCCCTGGGGTTGGGGCAAAATGCCCCATTTGCAGTTGCTTCACAAATCACTTCCTAGCTAAGAGTCCGATGATAAGTGAATGAATTTGAGGGGTGGAATTTAAAGTAAAATGTCCAAAGAACGCATTGAGCACAAATTTGGCCTTCCAGGTGATGTGGGACAAAAGTTATGTAGCAAAATAAATTATCGGGGGCGTCTTGCCCCAGGCTACCCTATGTACCTAAACTGATGGAAGCTTTACTAAGCTTGACTGATAAAAAACATGCCGAATTGTCAGCCTGTCTTGTATTTTGTTATGTTCAGTGAGATTTCGTGATATGATTCGTGGCCCGGGCTAACATCTCAGAAAGTTATCAGCCGATTTTTAAATCCAAACGGTGTTCGATATCCAGATCAGGAAGCTGTCATGTGACCCCATTTCATTGACCGAGGTGCAACTGATGACGTCATACATCAGGCCAGGTCAAATATTGCATTTTTGACCGTTTACAGGCCTCATAAGGCATTCTATAACATCAAGTAAAAGGCTAAAGGCATGTTACAGAAAATCATTGATAGAGAATTGGTTTCCTAGTTTATATTTTGTCTAATGAGGTCACTGATACCAGGTCAGGTCACAGAGGTCAGGTCACTAAGCTTCACAATATGATCCCAACTATACCTACTAGGTTCGTATGAATTGTGATACAATTAATGGACAATTTTGCATTTCAACTTCAATGATCTGAGTTGGGCGACCATTTGGGGTCAGTTCAGGATCCGTCTTGGTGAAAGGCAGGTCAACGTCAGATCAAATTTCAAAATTAATGTTATTGTATGAAAAGGGCATTGATTCGATGCAACTCCTTACGATAAATCCAAATCAGGCCTTAGTTTTGCGCTGCGTTGTCTAAAACGGTTAAAATTAAATTTGAAAATTTGGTGTAGGTAATCTATTTTCAGTAGTTCTTTACGCCATAGGTTAAAACAAAAATGGAGGTATTGATATTAAACTGTATGAGCCGTCAGAAACCCTTAATTCTATTTTGAACAAATCCGTATTTCAAAATTTTAGAACGTTTTGAATTTTTAGGGTATTATATGCCTTTTTTTGGGGAAACGAAATATACATTTCCTTACAAAACCGAAAATATAGTTTGTAGTCCTGTTAATTGTACAACTTTTTTGTTAAACCTTAATATATACCATTACCTTCAAAACTGAAGGCGTGACAGCTCCTGCTGTAAAAACCTTGTTTCGATGGCAGAACGTGACGTCATTTTAACGTCATTTATGGCCAATCTATCACAGAGCCTGTTAATATTTTTTGGCCAAAAGTTGTCAAATTGATGGCCGTAGGGGCTTGTAAGTCTAGTGACGATATCTGTAATGCTTTAGGAGATATTGACAGGAAATAATGGAAGGGACGTTTCGCTCCCCCTTCCCACAACGAGACGCGGGTTAATTCGGTAATAACATTTCTTTTTTTCTTTTTCCTATGGACGGGATCCAACAAAAACACCTTTCCCTCTTTTTCAGCGACATTCGGAGGTTTTCCGGTGGGCCTGGCGCTGGGCTACACAAGCAGCGCTCTGCCACAGCTGAGGGACTCTCCGCTGCACGTGACTGACCAGCAGGGCTCGCTGGTCGGCTCGATGGTGCCGCTGGGCGCGCTGCTGGCCGCCCCGCTGGCCGGCAACGCCATGCAGGCGCTGGGCCGCCGCTCGGCGCTGGTGCTGGTCTCTCTGCCGGCCGTGCTGGGCTGGCTGATGGTCACCTACGCCGGCTCGCTGACCGTTCTGCTGCTGGGCCGGCTGCTGACAGGCGCCGCCGTCGGCTGGACCACGGTGGTCGCGCCCACGTATGTGGCTGAGGTGACGACGGCTAGTCTCCGCGGCCCTTCTGGCGCAGTGTTTGAGCTACAGCTCAACATGGGCGTGCTCCTGTCGTACGTGGTGGGCAAGTACGCCGACTGGCGGCTGCTGGCCGCCCTCTCCGGCGCCGTGTCGGCGCTGTGGCTGCTGCTGGTGACGCTCAGCTGCCAGTCGCCGCTGTGGCTGGCGCAGCGCGGCCGGCTGGCCGAGGCGCGCGCCACGCTGCGCTGGCTGCGCGGAGAGCTGGCTGATGTGGAGAGCGAGCTGGCCGCGCTGGGCACCGGCCGGGCCACCGGGAAGGCGGCGCTGTCCGAACTCAGGCGGCCAGAGTACCGACGGCCGCTGGCGCTGACGCTACTCGTCGTCATTATGCAGCAGGGCTGCGGTGTCAACATCATCACCTTTTACGCAGCGGATATATTCGAGGAGGCCGGCGGGGCCATGGACTCGAGCACAGCGGCTATCTACTCCGGACTGACAAAAGTAAATTCCACGCTGTGGTTACAACACTGCTACAAATTGTTTTAAACATTGTCACTATTATCAGGTGATTGTTTTCAGCCGCATTCTTCTGCAGTATTGTTGACAATCTATTTTCAATCGCCAATGTTTTGTGGAAGATGGAGCTCAAACAAGTTAACCAGTTGATAAAACCATTTTTGCAGCTTTTAATGAGTCCAAGGAATGTCAGAACATCTCCTTCCTTTCATCTGAAGCATCTCTATTGTTCCTTTGCTTTGATTTGGCAGGTTTGCACAACAGCCCTGGGGGTGGCAGCCGTGCACAGCCGCGGCCGAAAACCGCTCCTGGTCGCCTCCTCTGTCATCACAGGAGCCAGCCTGGTGGTCCTGGGCGTCTTCTTTAGGCTGAAAGACACTGGGCAGGACGTCTCGGCAATCGAGTGGCTGCCGCTGACGTCTGTCGTTGTCTTCCTCCTGGGCTTCGGCATCGGCTTCGGCCCCATTACCTACCTTTACATGGGTGAGGCTGGAGTGAGTCTACCGTGCGCTTGGAGGGCCATTTTTCTACATAACCCGGTCCCTTACAGTAACGGGGTCTCCTTAAAAATATTCTAGGTTATGGCATATGAACTGCATGTCCAACATCTAAAGCTGTCGCTGATTGTTTTAGCAGATGTTCCCCATCCAATGTTCTACATAAAATGAGTGAAGATCATGGAAATGTGTTAAGGTGTTCCTAGAAACGTCGTGCTGGTGGTAAAGGTTAGTCAGGGTAAGGTGATATAGCACTTATGGAAACGTCATTTACGCTTGAACAATGGTTCGTTTAGGTCTTGATAATTCTTATGCGGTGACACACGCAAGCATACATCAAGCGTTCGAAAGTACTTATGCATGCTTGCATTTATGCATGCATTGTGAAGACTTGCATACCCACACCCACGCATAAAACCAGCCAGGGCTAATATATGGATGAAAAAGTTACATTTTGACCTGAAATCTGAATTCGAATGACATTGTATGACAGGCCTTGGCAATTTGAGGTGCGTATTGACATGTAGCTTAAAACATTTAGATGTTCGCATACTCATCAAAAACTACAAACTTTATGACCTCGGCTACGCCCAAAATCAGTACTTGGTGAACAGTTTACTGTCATAATTTACCTGACGATGCTTTGCGATACATTTCATCATCATCACCCGCAGTGGATAAGGACTATGGATAAAGCCCGACAGTTTATTTGGTTTCGTTCGAAATCGACACATTCCGCCCCACAAAAGCAGGCGCAAGTCCTGAATTCTTCTCTTTCCCGACAGGGGAGATACTCCCACCTGATGTTAAAAACCTCGCCAGTGGTATCGCCATCTTCTTCAACTGGGGCACCTCGTTCCTGACGACGCTGACCTTCGAGCCGCTGGAGGATGCCATCAGCCCGGCGGGTACGTTCTGGATGTACGCCTGTCTCTGCCTCATCGGCGCGGTCATCTTACAGCTGACATTGGTCGAGACTCGGGGCAAGACGCTGGAGCAGATTCAGCAGCACTTTGACACGGGAAAGGACGTGGAGCCGAGGGACGCATCAAGTCAGGACAGCAGGGGCAGTGACGGAGCTTTGAAAGGATAGCGCGCTGTGCCAGGCAGGTACGAAAGATTGAATTATTCTGTGGTTGTCATCAGGCATAGATGTCAGGGTAGTGTAGATGAAGCAATGTTAAGTGCCAGTAAAGCGGACTGAAGTTATCCATCAAGTAAATGCCATGCTTGAGCGCTGCCTTTCTGCATTGTGCCAACTTTCAAAAGGCGGAGGTGGTGCGAAATGTGTGCGACGTGAATGCATTAGTACGTAGTGTTTCTAGTAGATGCTTTTCTATATACTGTGGATCAATGACAAATGATCGATTTGTTTCGTAAATATGTTCAACGTCAATGTGCCTATATTTAACCCTCGCCCCGTTGGGGGAGGGAAATATGGCCCCCCTGTAGTTTTCCTGGCGAATAGCAAGAAAACGGCGGAGCGCAGCGCCGCCAATTTTTCAGTACCTTCCCGGGCATCAATTTGACATCTTCACAGAAAATTTCAAGCCTTAGGTCACCGTAGGTCAGGAGTTATTGAGGTCAAACTGAGGTCATGTTCGAGCAAAAATGACTAAAAAACATGAAATCTTGAAACGCTCACAAAGCTACTGTTCAAAATTGATGACGTCAAATTTCTGAACTCAATTTTTAGCAATTCTAGACCATGTAGCGCAAAACTAAGACCACCATTAGACTCCCCGTGACGAGCTGCATCGATTCGATACCCACTTTATGCCAAAATATCAGCTTTGAAATTTGACTTATTTGACCTGACCTTGACCTGACCTTGACCTGACCTTCACCTGACCTTCACCTGACCTTGACCTGACCTTGACCTGACCTTGAACAGAACATAATCTAAACTGACGCCAAAGGATGCCTGACCCACATAATCGCATTTGGCATTTAAAATGGACCATAAAACATGCATCACATGACATTTTCATATTGTGACCCTCAGTGACCTGACCTCTGTGACCTGACCTGGTATCAGTGACCTCAGATAGCAAAATATGTGTTTGACGAACATTTCCCCTTCGATGATTTTCGATGAAATGCATTTTACTCGATTTTACAACGCATTTCTTGAAATGCCTATAGGCTATAAACGGTGAAAATTCTACATTTGACCTGACCTGTGAGCTGTGACGTCATCGGTTTGACCTAGGTCAATGAAATTGGGTCACAAGGTAGTTCCCTGTTTGGGGGTATCCAACACCGTTTGCTGCTTGTCGCTATGTTGCGTGGTTCTCGAGATCTTAGGGGGGCCAAATTGCCCCCCCCCCCAACAGGGCGCGTTGCTCTGCAGACCCCAACGGGGCGCGGGTTAATAAGAAAGCGACTTCATAATAATGCATATGCCGCTATGAGACGCAGCGACTGGCATCTAAATTTAACCCTCGCCGGCACAGGCCATTTTGCGTCCTTCGAGGGCACAAGGGGGTTTGGTACGAACCTCCCCCCCCCCCCCCTACCTAGGTTTGGCCCGTGATCGAGCTAGAGCTTCACGGGAAAAAAATTAGCGCGTTGCCCGTGACGAGAGGAAGCCGATGATACCCAATTTTAAGGACCTAGGTCGTCTGTTGACCTTCCAGGTCAGGTCAATGACCCAAAAGTCGGAAAAATCGGGACCTGTTAGAACGTCGTGAAGTGTGCCTACTACGTATAGGGGTTCTCGGGGTGCTGATCACGAATATCATGTTAGTTTTGATCACGGATGATGTCTTTATGCATTTAGGCCAGGTCGGGTCAGGTCAGGTCAGGTCAACCAGTAGGGGTTCTGCCGGGTATTCGTAGTAGGTGTCGACCGCCTCTGACAGCTTTGTTACATTATAAGAAGGCACCAAAACTACTTCGTAAATGTTCAAATGGTTCCTAAATTCGAATTCAGCAAACTAGAAAAAGTGGACCGAGGTCATCAAAGGTCAATGACCTGACCTGATCTTCAGGTGACCTTGACATCCACCCGAATGCATGGGAGCAGCATCAAATCACATGTTTGAACGCTTGAAACCACGAGAAGCTTGCAAACGCGCGGCTAATGCGAGCCGACATATGTACGCCGAATCGCGATTCCGGCCAAACATGCATTTCGAAAAGTAGGTTACAGGTTATAGGTCATTTGGGTCAGGATCATGAAATTTTCAGGGTGGGTGGAAAATTGATTAACGTGAGTGTACTGAAAGTTTCGTCGCGATCGACCACTTTTTACGCGAGTTATTTGCGAAAAACCTTGGGGGTTGCATCAACCCCGCCCTGTACCGGCGAGGGTTAAAGTCTCAGGTCAACTGGGGACCTCTGGGGCATAACTTCACAACGATTTTACATAGAGAGAACACAGGGTGCAAAAATTTTGATTCTGTGATGTTTTGCGAAAATATTCACACAAAAAAGCCCGAAATTAGGGCACTTGACCTCACCCTAGAGGTTACCGGTCAGTCTGAGTCCTTGGAATTGGATGCCAGTCGCTGCATCTCGTAACGGCACATACAGTTGTTTTTTAGCCTCGTCCTTGAAAGAGGTGTTGTACGATACCGATAGCTTAATATACCATTTGATTTCGACCATTTTAGTTTAGTTTTCACTTTTCACTGATTGCCGGACCGTTCTGACCTTGCGCGAATTACGTCTCATCAAAGTGGACAGTAGACAACCAATAAAACTTTTAGTGTCCCACATTGTGAGAGACAAATCTCTTCTAATACAAACATCGTTGCCGCGTGTTGTGCTCACGCTTAATATTCTTAATAGCTTTGCTTTCCTTTTAACAAAAATTTAATCGAAATTAGATATGCTGGCTAAAAAAGATGGAGAGGCAATCTTACTTTGTTTTGCTAATTTAGCCTATGTCGTGTGAATAAACATTACTTCACTCAAGTTTGACTGATTTTGGTGCAGCGGAAAAAAAAACTTCGCCACAAAACACTCCTTTGAGGGTGCTCGTTGATAGCCCAAAGTCTACAGCGCGAATCAGATTGCGTTAATCCGTGACGATCCCTTTGGAGCACGGGCGGGCGGCGGGCGGCGGCGACGGCGGCGGCGGTCAGGTGTGGGCGGCGGCGGCGGCGGCGGCGGGCGGCGGCGGTGCCGGGCGGCGGTGCCTCTCAGTTTACTCCGGGCGCTCGGCGAGGTCGGGCTGTCGCCGTGTGGTGCGCGAAGTAGCACGGTGTGGAGCTTGTTGCACGTGACGTGACGCTCACACGAGTGACTCCGAGTGTGACGATCGCTCCCGGTGTGACGCCACACAGCTGTTTGGTCACGTGACGCGATCGGGTTGTGACAGGCCGTAACGCTGCGACTGGCACCTGGCGCAACTCTGTCACAGCCACCTGGCGTAACGCTGTGACTACCGGCGTGACCCCGTGACGGTGGCTGGGTGTGACGCTGAGTCACCGCGATGCGGGGTACATAAAGATGGCGTCGTCACGAGGACTAACACCCAGGTGAGACTCGGCTCCTTCCGTATGCGACTCCCCACTGGCGCCGGTCGAGGTCACATTTGGCTGGCCTCCAGTCGAGTGGTAGGTGCTCAGCACCCGGTGAAGAGCAGAGCTGAACCTTGGACCCAACTAATGCCAGCTGAAGAGCACGGCTGAACCCTGGACCGGTCGGGTACCGTGCAACTGGAACAGAGGCTGGCTAAGTTGAGAACCGGCCGGCTCAGACGCTGCAGAGTCATGTTTCACACTGCACTAATCCTCAGAAAGGACACGTTTCACCAATTAGAAGCCCCCATATAAGGGGCGGCGCTTCATTGCGCATCTGCGCGCGAAGTTCTCCTTGGCGGTACAGGTGTGGCCCCGCTGTACTGGCAGGTGGTGATGTAACGTTTACACAGCACCGTGCCGCTTCACATGTTACTGGCTCTCAAAAATGTTCCTTCACTGGACCATTAACAGCGCTGTAATCATCCGTATGTTTACAACTTTCTAGTATTGGAGGTTGATGAAAATACCGTGAATGCTCCTGCCCACATACAAAGTTTCGTGACTTATACAGGCCTGCTTTAGCTTGTTTTGTAAAACCAACGCTGGCATTCCTGATGGTCAAACTAATAAAGCTTGATTTTGACTACATTCACTTGTGCTGCAAATTATAAATGCTCATAACCGATCGTGCTTACTGCTTAGCAATAAGTTACGTAACATAACGTCCATATAACGAGAACAGACATTTGTGAAGTCGCGCTTCCTTTAGCTCACCAGCAAAACGAAACTTGCACGCACGCACGGTTCTGATCTGAAGAAAACATCAACTGACTTTTATCAACATACTCTGGTATCAACATTGTCTGCTGTCTAGTGCCGCTCATATGACTTCTGTGAAACACATTGACCCTTGTTCGCCTCAATGCTGATAACGCTCTTGATTTCGTAGAGAAGTGGCGAGTTATCAAGCAGATAACCTGACATGTTTCTTCAGCGTTCATTGTCTCCAAATAGCGATGATGGACAACATTGCAGCGTGCAATTTGCAGTGACAGTTACGGTTGTAACACCCTCAGTTGCCTTGTACGATTGTTGGAGTTGTGAAGTGAAATTATAAACTCCGACATGAACACGAACAGTACCAGCACATCACCACACATGGCATCACCTACAAATAGGCAATAATATCACTATGGCAATAATATCACTTATTGAAAATGTTTACTTGTCCGCTGGTCCGCTGTTGCCCGTTCTTTAGAAAAAGAAAATCGTATTTAAATGTCTGTAGACTGAACAAGACAAAAACAAAAGGCATCAGACCCATCCGATGAATGTTGGTGTCTGGTGACCTTTTAAACCTCCTAGCAACTGCATATCAAGACAATAACCGTCCATATTCCTACACCCAACATCACTCATTCATGTTACCTGCACCGATCGATGCCTACCAACACCAATAGCGCACGACGTTATGGCTAACATAGGGTGTGTCCCGCCCACGAGTAACCAGTGTTACCGACAAATACGGCGGCACCAAACCCAGTCCCGCCGCGGTCGTGCCCCTGACTGCGGAGGCACCGGAAAGGGGCCAGGCAGGCGGCTGGCAGGCCTCTGTCTCGGCTCGACAGGCCCATAACGCCCACCGCAGCCGGCGGGTCGGTCCTTATCAGAGGAACCGTGACGGACGTACGGACGGATACGCCCCCCCGTCCTTCCCCCCCCCCCCGTCCGGTGAGCCTCCCGCGCACCTGTTTGTTCCGGAGAGCGCGCGCTTTTGTTCCGTTTCCGCCGCCGCGCCCTTCCGCGCGCGCGCTTTGACGGCAGGGTGTGAGCCAACCCCAGATACGACCCCAGGAGGTGAAGCCTTGTTTGTGCCGATTCGGCCTTTCAGTGGGTCGTCCCCGAGAGTGTCCTCGCTGCGAGTGGAAGGGCGCGCGAGGAGGGGCGATTGATGTGGGTGATTGACAGCGGCGCTTAGAGGCAGCCATTGGTAGAATATCCAGCCGTCCATGTGGTGCTGAGCCTCAGGTGGTGATTCCCATATCCCACCACTGGGTCCGTGTTAGGAAGATACAAGATACGCCTAATTGTGTGTTATCCAGACCATGACAGATATATGTAAAAAACGACAATATATCCAAATACACAATTAAAAACAGAGCTTTCGGTAACAAATACCATCACTGTGTGATCAAGGTTACCGAAAGCTCTGTTTTTAATTTGTTGAGCTTTCGGTAACAAATGCCTTGATCACTGTGTGATCAATGTTACCGAAAGCTCTGTTTTTAATTTGTTACCGAAAGCTCTGTTTTTAATTGTGTATTTGAATATATTGTCTTTTTTATACGCCTAATTATACAGAAGCGCCAAAGATTCGCCTGGCTATTCAACACTATCAGTTGGGCGTAAGACAGGCTCGAAGTGTTGATGGGGCTTTTTGCCATTCAATTGCCATTGATTGCCAGTCCCCGTCCCCTTTGATATATATGCAATCGGTCGTAAAAGAGGCTCCCGTCAGCTGAATATGGTCAACAGAAACCTACAAATTGTTAGAGACTGGGTTCAACAGGTGTTTACCACTCGTCTGTTACACTGGCGTCACTCTGAGTAGGAGCAACGACAGCTGGTGAAAGGAGGGAGGGGAGAGAGAGAGAGAGAGAGAGAGAGAGAGAGAGAGAGAGAGAGAGAGAGAGAGAGAGAGAGAGAGAGAGAGAGAGAGAGAGAGAGAGAGAGAGAGAGAGAGAGGCGAAGGCGTGTCAGTTGCGTGCCATGGGAGGAAATTCAGGAAAATGAGATACGGAATCACGCTATCAAGGGCTCACTGCTCAGTGCCCCACGCAAACGTGTGATTGGAATGTCGAGGAGAGAGCCACCGCCGATATAGGTAGAACAGCTAAATCTATTATTGAAGTTGATTGACTTGCATAAACTTTACTTGCCCCTTATTTGTTTTTCAGATTTCATTTGTTTTATTTCTTAATTTTGTGGTGACTCTTAATTGGATTATTGTAATGTGGCGGAGACTGAAGGATGCCTGATAAATCGTCCTTTAGCATGGGTTTGATTCGGCGCCGTTGTTTTGACTTTGTGAACCGATGGTGCGAAAGCTGAAGGGGCTCAAATTCCAAATCAATGAACAATACTGAAAAACACGTAATGTTATATATATGTCACTCCTATAACTTGCGCCACAACCCTGACGCGAGCGGCGAGAATGAATGCTCTGATCCCTTTTGATCCCAGTATTTGGTTTGGCCGCACCCAAATGTGGCGCCTGGGCTCTTGAGCACGTCTTCTACTGGCTGATTTACAGACGTCACTCGACCCCACAGCTTCGCCCACTCAACTAGCTCAGCCATGACGAAAATCATCTCCTCTTCCTGCGCAGTTCGCCTATGCCCAATATCGCGTGTCTGTGCCTTATGAAGCATCACTAGTCGAAGTCCGTGACCCTGTGCCCTCGCGTCCATACCTGGTCTGTAACCTCACCAAACATGCTGTTAGCATGTATGCTGCCAGACCTCTCCCGGCTGGCTCTTTGCATCCTGTTGTGCAGAGCACCGATCGCTCTACGGCTCTCCAAAACGATCAACACCTGTCGGATGTAGCGTCACAAGCGACTCACGTCACGCAATCATCACAAACGTCACACTGCGTGTCGCAAGACGCCGCTCGGTAGACCCTGGAATGCGTAACGCCCAGGTGAACAGGTACTAGGTGCTTGGTACTGGGTGCCAGGTAAGTACCAGGTGCTTGGTACTGGATACCTTATCACCTCTATCGACAAATAACACTGCTCTCCGCCGATACGTGGCCAGACCGCCGGTTTCCAACTCGGGCCCACCCTGTCTGAGGTGACCTTGCGTCGGCCTCCGCCGTCAGAGCGTCACAAACGCCGCACACGCGCCATAAACACGCACCCCGCTGGGCGGCGCCGGGTCACGGGGGTCACGTGACGTGCGCCGCCCCCGCCCCCGCCCGGCGGCCGGGCGCGACAGGAGAGAGAGGACGGGCGTTTCCGCTGTTGAGGTGACCAAACATATTTGTTGGCCGTGGGCGGGCGGTACGGGCGGTGAGAGCATGGTGGGCGACGGGGAGAGGACCAGCGGGCTGCTGCCAGCACAGCCACTGCCACTGGCACTGTCACAGCCACCGCCATACCATGGCACTGGTCTTGAGTTAGGCTTCAAGCATGAAGAAAAGCTGCGCGCTCTGCAATTACGCCATATGGTATACTAGAGATGGAAACAACCGAGAAAGGTTTGACCATTGACGCTGCATGTTCTCCGATTAGTGTTCCCAATCATTCCTTGGTCAATTGTCACATCTGAAGTCACGCACGGCTTCTGTTTTCTGCAACCTCACTCACTTGACTTCATGCAAATGACTCAATGCAGAACATAAGTGGGAAAATGTGTTTTCCAATCCTTCCTTAAAAAGGAAGAGATGGATGTTGATCGAGCAGGTAGGTGACGAAACGACGGACCGTTCTCCCGTGGTTATCTGCCCAGGTGCGCGGATGAAACAGCAAATGTAGAACATCGTGCTCCTGGGTCGAGATCTTTGAGGTCTGAAAGTCCATTGGCGTGCATGAACGTCCCACTCAGGTGACTGACTGCACCTTGGTGCGCTGCGGGACCTCGGAATGTCGGCAGAACTATCGCGTCATTTTGTCAGCTGCCGCGCTGCATATAATCTGAACAGATGAGGGAGTGCCATTCACCACTGCAAATACAGCTCGCTGTTCACTGTACAGACATGAGTCTGATTTCATACATGTTATGCTTAACTATAATGGAGATATTCCTATACATCAGGCTTAGGAATTAAGATTGCAGAGACTGCAGGGACGGTATGGGTGTTCTTAATTTGTCGCTGTGAGATTTTTAAGGAGCATGTGAGCCAGCGCGGTACTGGTGGTAAGTACCAGCGTTACGTCTCCCAATAAGCCCTGGTTGGTTCAGGGCGTTATCGAGCTGTAGCACCCCGCCGGCTCCTGTCACCGGGGGCGGCAC